AAATTATCGGATACGCCGATGATATAGCAATAACAGTAGTGGCCAAAGACCTCTACCAAGTTGAGAACATCTGCAACAGTACGGCGCAGCAAATAAAGAACTGGCTCGCTGCAACGAATCTCCAACTCGCAGGGCAAAAAACCGAAGCGGTGGTGATCACAAGCCGAAAAAAGATGGAGAGCGCTACGCTCAACATCGATGGACATAGCATCAAAACACAGCAGTCGCTGAAATACCTGGGTGTCATGATAGACTCGAGATTAAGCTACAAGGTGCACATTGATAAAGCTTGTGAAAAAGCGGCAAGAGTGACCACGGCTCTAACAAGACTAATGGCTAACATCGGCGGACCGAGCCAAAACAGACGAGCGCTTCTAGCAAAAGTGAGCCAGTCCATACTAATGTATGCAGCACCCATCTGGGGACCCGCGTTGCAGCGCAAGACTTACGCGAAGGCGGCAAAGTCGGTGTACCGACTAAATAGCATCAGGGTGACTAGCGCCTTCCGTACTGTGTCACACGAGGCGGTCGGAGTCTTAGCGGGCATCATGCCCCCAGAAATAATGGCCATGGAGCTAAAAAGAGTCTTCGATAAGTCCCGAAACTTAGGCAGGTGCCTGACAATCGAAGAGCGAAAACAAGAGAGGGATGCAAGTCTAAATGAATGGCAAAAACACTGGGATGTGACGACAAAAGGGAGGTGGACGCACAGGCTGATCAATAACATAAAAGCGTGGGTGGAGAGGAAACACGGAGAGACCGACTTCTACGTGACACAGTTGCTGACGGGGCACGGCTGCTTTCGAGAATACCTGTTCAAATATGGGCATGATGACGGGACAGAGTGCTCATTCTGCGGTAGCGGCGACGAAAACGTACTACACGTATTTTTCCACTGCCGAAAATACGAGGCAGATCGAACAGACATAGAGCAGCTGATAAAGGAGAGCATGACGCCTGACAATATCGTGGGGCACATGATAAACTCAAAAGCGGTGTGGAGCAGAATTAAGGCGTGGTCCGCAATAGTCCTCCAGGAGCTAAGAGCGAAAGAACGACAGCGCAGTAGCGAAAAGAGAAGACTGAACGAGAGATAAGCCAGAAAGGCGTGTGTGAAGAGCCAATTGGCAAAGCT